GTGCCTATTGCTAAAATGCAGGTTCCTTTCCCAATGGGTCCTAATATTCGACCGCGAACAGGAAAAATTCGAACCAGCGTCACTGATGATAACCACCACCATGAAATGCCATCGAGTTCTGTAACTGTGGAGGATTATTCTGTTGGGGATTTGTCTTCTGGTTCAGGCAAAGATTCGGAATGAGTTTTTGCCTACTTTTTTTGTGGTGACTAACCTGCAAGAAGTCGATGAGCATGACCTTAATTAATTTTCCTGTATTTTCTTTCTGTCTTCACATTTTTTTTTTTTTTTGTTGTATGTATATTACGGCATGGTAAAAAGCACGAATGGAGGGGGTTGAGGAGAACTTTGTTTCTGGTGAATATGGAGAAGCCTAAAAATAGACAGTGCAATGGCAATGAGGAGCAAACATGGAGCTTCGAAATTTTGGACTATAACTGAGGGGTTTCATTATTATGTATTATGTATAGAGGGAGGTCTTTTTGTTCCTTTCCCCCCTTTTTGCGCCCGAATTTTCGCTTTTCTTTTTCTTGACAGTTAGCTAAGTCAGTCGGGGAAAACCTTTGAAGGAATTTTTGTGGTGATTGATGATGATGATGTATAACTCCGGTCGGATCGAGTCGGTTTTATTAAATATGAAGATATGGTTTATGCTCATTCGCCCAAGTCATTACTCCCTCATTTTGAATGTATATATTTTAAATGTTTATTTATTTTTTGTTTCCTTCTTGTTTCATGTCCTTTGAAAAATGTTTTAGGATTTGTAATTTAGTACTGGAAACACGAATTCACAACAAATTCCATTGTAGCAAGAACAAAATAAAAGCATTTGGGAAAATATTGCTTTTTTTGACCCCTTTCTGGTACAATTGAAGTTTGTGATTAATCACATTTTAAATGTGAATATCCAACTTTGATGGAGACAAATATTCTCACAGTTGAGCAGACTTAACAGCTACTAATAGATTGGTTAAACAATAATTTTTTTTCAATATGACACTCTAAGAAATTACATAGACAAAAATATACTATTTTATAACATATGCATACATTTTTGTTACAACTCGTCTAATTGTCGTTCAGTTACGTATGGCAGATAGACGCAATATTGTTTACTTTATGCCTATATATAATGTAAACAGGAGAAACTATATTTCAACAATGCAATATTGACTAACATTATTCAGAAATGTTTTGAAGGCAAAAGCCAAACACTAGAAAAGGACGCTCAAGTCATAAAACCGATTGATTCATCAAATCGTGTTTGTGGCCTGCATAAAGAAGCGTTCTCCGCAAAATGGCAAAACATAAGCAGCTCACTCGTGCTGATGAGAAAAACATTTTATTTAGAGTAGAGAATATCATAGTGACCCGGTCGATAAAGCAAGCAAACAAATGGTTTCCGTGGCTGAGAATCACCAGTAGTATTATTTTTATTCTCATTGGCAGGAACAAAATCGTGATGGTTAACACTGACACTGCCTTTATCGTCACAACTTCGGTCGAGATAAACTACGCGTATCGCTACTCCCAAAGCATCTGACAAAGCTGTAATGTGAACATGATCACTCTCTTCGCCCATGGGTTCGACTGACGACTTGCAAAACTACACATCAATCAAAAGCACAAATTTGTTTATTAGCAGCAGCAGCAGATCTTTTTATTATTATTTTTTTTTAACAAAGAATTTTAGAATTTTGATGTTGAGAATTGCTATAGTGCCAGCGCACACGAAATGAGCAAATTTACAATACCAAGAAAAGTTTTAGAGAGCCAACCTGCTCCACTGATGCATTTGTTAATCCTTGAATAAATGGTTCATAGAACTCTGAGCGCTTTCTTATTTCACCAGAAGTAATAAAGCGGAAGAACATCACAACTGGAAAACATAAATCGTTAGTTGAGATTATATATATAACTATACAAACCCATTTTGTTCACTCAATGGATTTTTCTATATTCATATTCAGTGTCACTCACCATAGTCAGATACCGACTGGTCTCTACTCCTCTGCAAAAGTTCCTCATGGCTGCCACCATGACAACAGAGATCCGCAATCAGATCAGATTAAACTACGAAAACCAAGGCTTGCTAAATTTTGATAACCATGAAAAACGACAGAGTCAGCAGTAATAATAATTTACCTTTTAAAAGCTTCATTTCCAGATAGCACAATCTCAAGTTGCTCGATAAATAGCTGGCGAGAAAAAACGAGGGGTAAGTAGAGAATTAAGTTTCAGAAAGTTACAGCACTCAGGCAAACGAATACCTATCAGTCAACAAAAAGGTGTCTACATCTAGTGCAAGAATGCATCTTGATATACCAGGATACACTATATATCTCTTTGCACATGTATGTGGGCACAAGCATATCCTTGTGTGCCTGTATGCAATCCACTGATACCCCTAATATACTGATCACATATTGTTGAAAGACTAAGTTCCTGAGGCATGGTATGTGATGAAAAACAGGACTGTATGCTGGCATGATTTTACAATTTTAACATCAACTCAACTTATATTTTTCAAAAAAGCATTACAGGGACACATGCATAATGTAAAAGGAACTGACTTAATCAATTTAAATCTGGTTGAAGTACCGCAAAAAAATCTTCAAAAGTAAATTCAGCATAGCCTAAGCCGAGAAGTGTCTTTCGGCATTCCTCTACATTTGCTGTCACTCGATCAACTTCCGCACGGTCTTGTGATTCTAAAATATGCTCCTGCAGGAAATAAACTAAAATCCCAATGTCCAAAAGAAATTTGTACAGAAATATTGTCAGAATGCATTGGCACATACAAGGTAAGCAAACATGAAGCTACGAAAGAAGCAATTTCCATCTCGACGTGTTCGCCTGATGGCAGCATACTGTTCCATAAGAACCTGCAGAGGTTGCCACAATTACTAACTGACGATCAAGCAGAAACGTCAATCAAATACAATGTCTAACAATCATGCACACCTTAATTTTCTCCAACAACACTGAGTTTCCTGATTTGTATTCTGCCCCTAAGGACGACAGAGGCTCCTGCAATAGTAGAGTACCAAAATCAATTCCAAGTGACCAATTGGACAAGCCAAAAAATAGAGCAACACTGACTTTGGACGTCAGGTCTATGTTGAGTGCTAACAGTGTATAACAGCTTTAGCATATCAGTTTGACATGTCAGACAGTTAGAGTAACCTGATATCTTGGTGAGGAATACTTCAGTTTAAAATTAGACGAAGGACGTTGGGCAGAAAATATTAAAGCTAATAGATGGGTATGACTTTTAAATTACCAAATCTGCCAATTAAAATTTAGTGATAATCATCAAAGGTCAAACAGACATCCAACAACATTATTAACGAATTCGAATAAATTTTTTACATCTACAGCTCGTGAACTAAACTAGAAGCATTTGACTTATTTAATTTTAAACCGTCCAGCCCCCATATGGTCCAAACATCCACAGAAATACACATCTACTCCTATAGGCAATTAAATTCCTCACGTCAATAAGAAACAAGTAAGTGAAAAAAAATGTGAACCATCTAACGGGAACTCTATCAAGAAGTTGATTATATATTATTATCTGAAAAAAAACTGCCGGAGATAGATGGTTGGTGGAAACATAACAGGTAGACCGTAAGAATTTCCAGATACATCTAAATGTCTAGCAACGTAAGATATATACTCAAGTTCACAAAACAAAAGAGATATTATCACATCAACAGTTCAAAGAACACACATAAAAAAGTACTACTTATCGCCTAATAGCAGAGAACTTGTTGGGAACATAAGATTATGTACAGATACTATGCTCCTATCTAGTAAACATTATCTTCTGAAAACTAGGGGCTTCCATACCTTGTCACCAATGAAAGGTATCTTCCCAGATTCCTCAGCTAGGATGGCAGATTGCTGCTGCATAATGTCATCATCCCTGAAACTTGCCCAGTCATCATTTTCGGAGGTTTGTTTGGATGATACGGTTTCCATTTCAGATTCCACCACATGCCCATCCTGATTCTGCATCTTTACTGCTTTGTTTAAAGAGAATATCCACTCCTTCAGTAAATCTTATGGTAACAACTGTTTCACTGAAGTCCTTGCTTTTAAGTTTACATCAGGATTCAGGAAACTGTTGTTGTGCTTTCACAAAGCAATAATACTTTGCGAAATATTTGCATAACTACTATGAGTTGCACATCTCCACTTCCAATCAGATATTCATATTATATTAATTTATTAATATGCAGTATTGCTAACTAATTATAAATGATATGACAAATATACGGCCATGCAACAAAAAGAAGAAAGGACGCTAGTTGTTCCACGATCAATCTCACAATAGAAATTACTAAATGAACTCCTACTAAATATTGATATAAGAAGCACTATGCTCCAGAGACATGAAACCCTATCCTGATGGAGATGAGAGGGATTTGTAGACCAGTCTCCTAAACATGAAGAATCAGGGTCATAGTATTTCTGTTTCTTCATTGCATAACTTTACGGACTGAAGCATATTCTCAAACCATTTTTCTTGGAGTATATCATGAATCATTTGTGGATGAAGATTCTTGATGATTACAGATGATTTAATTGTTTTCATACTACAAATTAACAAATGATGCATTAGGTACAAGAAAGAAACGGCACTCAGACCAGTATAGATTAAAACGTTGCTTAAACTAGATGAAAAAGTATCCTAATCCACAGAACACTCTAGAAATCTCCATTCAAGTTCCTCAATTACTATTGTTCAACAAATCAAGCAAATCACAACAATAAAACCCTGAAAATACAAATGACGCCGCACATCGAATCGAAAAAGAAAGGCAAACAAGAATGTCACTGAAGAAAAGGGTGTTCTTCTACAAACAAAGGATTAATAATTCAACGAGACAGAGAGAATTGGAAAAGAATTGTTAAGCTGACCTGAGTCTCTTTTCCTGCTCCTTGGCTATCTCACGTCCCAACAACGGCGACACCGACGGCACAACTGTTGGGGCAGCTCGATGTGAAATATTTTTATTGTATATAAAATGAACAGTAAATGCATATATATGGATAATTCTAATAAATTAATAAGTGTGTTTTGCAAAGTCCTCCCACACTAGTTGGAAATTGCACTAACACGGTAACACCCCTTATCAGTATAGTTGTATACTTGTATTTGAATTTACTATTGTATCAGTATTCAAAATTTCAAAAAGAAAAAACTAAATAAAAATTTAAAAGTAATTATCTCCTGGTTTTAGTAAAAAAAAAAAAAAAAAA